TCTATCTTCATGAGAACCGGACGACTTTATGCTTTCCGGTAGTTGAGTAGCTGGATAAGATGGATACTCGGAAGTAGGAGTGAAGGTAGACGACGAGACTTCTCGCTGACGAGACGTGACCGCCAACAAGAATGCATCTAACCCGGAGAGTTTCATGTCGACATCGGCCTTAGGCTTGAGCTGGGCAACGGTGCTGAAGTCGATATTGGCCTTAGAGTTGTCGATCTGATCCTGCCAGTGCTGGTTGATGAATTTGTGGGCGTTAATCATCCGGTCATGAATATGTTGTGCCCAGCCTGGCTGTAGGTACCCTTCTTGCTTGAGAAGCTCGAACTTGCGTAGCCGTCGGGATAACTTGGCTAATGTAATATGAATCGCCTCGCTACCCATATCTTTCCAGTGCTGTTTCCCCAGATCGAGTAATCGTGATAACATAAAGATCATGAAGGCTTTGTACAGACCGTCGGCATGGAGATTGGAAGGTGCTTGTCGGGAGAACAGCAGCTGTAGCGATACGCGTAACAAGAGCCATAATGGGGACCGTCGCCATGGTGCAAAGCAGTCATTCCAAAGAACCTCTTCCCGGGTATATTTCGTGCTATGGCGTACATCTGTCGGCTCACCGAAAGCAGCGATAAGGTTCGAAAAGAAGTCGGTTGTCATGCCGGGATGCGTCGTGTCGCGCTGTTCGTCCATACTCTTGTTATTCTTGGTGATTTTGGGCTGGAAGCCAGGAGCTGTCTGGGTCGTCATTGTAGCTATGGTCCTGGAGATCGATTCGATAAGATCGGGATTGACCTTTCCGATAGGTATCTGTGATGCATGGGCAGGAAACTCTCGTACTAGTCGGCCTGAATGCATAGCCGCCTCATTCGTAGGAGAAAGCTCGAAGAACTCGAAGACCAAGTTGTTTGAAGACCGACCGACGAGGATCCCCGCGTTCTGCTCTTTAATCTCCAATGGAAATTTACCAGTAGCGGCGCCGTTTGCGATATTGGCAAGAAGGTCTTGAACTTGACCTTCACTGTCATTGCGGCAGTGGTCGCGACAGTTCTTGACCGTTGCTACGGCGACTTCGACTGAGCCGACATGCTCGCTGTTGACGAAGGGTTTCAGAGACTCAAGGGCGTGAATGGCGATATCGACAAGAGTCAAGTCGTGCGCGGCGTTGCGGTCGTCCTGCTGCGGGAGCTTCGGAGGAAGTACCAAATGGTGATAGGCGTAGGCCGTAGCCGCTGCCGATGCCATGGTGTAGACACCACAGGAAGTAAACTGTATGATAGATGAGTCAGCTTGTGTAACCTTGCCTGAACAGGAGCATGTTCAAGGGTATCGGTATCTGCTGTGCGAGCAGCACTTGCGCTGCAGGCGCGACGGACCCCACGTACCTAATGGGCTCAGCTATCCGGTGTGTCTATTCAGAATGCAGAATATTATTCAGGGTGTTCAACCAGTAGCGAAGATGGAATGGCAACAGTCGCAACCAAAACGATGAGGAGAAAGTGTGGTGTCGTGGTAGCGAGAGCGGTAGTCCAGGGTGGGGGAAAAGACGAAAGACGTTGGACGAAATCTCTGTACGACGCAAGATAAATGCTCGCTTGGAAGAGGTGAAATTCGACTGTGCGCGTCGTTGTTGTCTTAAACAGGCAAACAGACTTCGCCTTCACTTGAGCACTCCAAGGCTGCGCAGCGATTGCCCACCGCCTCATCACTTCGCCGCGACATGGGCGTCGCTGTCTGCAAAACAACAAGGCTGAGTATACTAAAATGCCCACGCCATATCTGATATGCTCTTCTGCTTCATGCATTTGAAGACCACGCGCCATTCCGGTCAGTGAATGGCCCAATGGTGTGGCTGTGTGGCGCGTGCGTGTAGTACAAAGCCAGGATGCGCAAGGCAACAGTCCCAGGCTGATTCGACGCCAAATAACCCAAGATGCCTCCCTCAATTTTATCTATTGCATAATCCAGCCTCCTTCTCTTGTTGATGGCCATCATCTGAAAGACATATGCCCGCTCAAGGCTGTGACGTCACGCGTTGCGGCGAAGCTGGGCCGCGCAAGACGCGTCTGCTGTGCCTCGTTGACATTGTGATGGAATTGATGCGTGCAGTGATGATGTTCCTCAGTATTCGAGACCAAGAGGATCGATGTTCGCATGCGAAGAGCGAAGCGTTGATGTGTCGTTACCTAGGTAAGAGCAACCTCGGGATCGAGCCTACAAACGTCGTCAGCCTTGGCATCCGCGCTAAGTGATCATCGGAGGATGAGGTGTGTTTTTGAGCTAGCCCGAGCCGTACAGCGCGTATTCTCATCCTTGCATCCCTTGCCTCTTCAACCCCCCATCGCGTTTGGCCCATCAGTTCTCGTACGTCCTTTCTTTGCTGCATTGCGGCTTGCTCATGAGATCCAGGCTCTGGAGTCTGTATGCCCCGATGTCTGGACTATTTGCGAAGGCCCACCACGTACACACGGGCGGCACGACTGCTTCGCTTGCGATCTACTGCATAGTTTACATGCTGGACATGCAGACGGCCCTTCCTGCTTCCTCAATGGGCAACACCCCCGGTATCCGGAAGACCTAGGTGCGCTGGATCAACATGCATCCAGATGTATTTGAGCCGCGCAGGCGGATGGTCATATCCGACCGAAATTCTTCATAACCATCAACATTCGCCCATTGGTGCCCATCAGGTTCACCTTTTGCTATCCTCCCATTACATTCAGAATGGTACTACTGGCAGGTGTCGCAGCTTTGCTGTTTGCTGCGCCGTCCATCGCGGCAGGTGCGGCACAAAGCCGCTCTGGTGGAGAGCAGGCCGCCTGCTCTAAGCTGAGATCTAAATACCCCGACAGTATCTTCTCGCCTGGGACTTCCGGCTACTTATATGAGACACAAAAGCGTACGATAACATCCTCGAAAAATCGGCCCGATCTTCACTAACAATTCACAGCATACTGGTCAGCTACGGTGTACAGCAGCCCTGCATGCGTTTTCGTTCCACAAAATGCCCAGCAAGTTGCCTATGCGGTCACCACAACGACCCTGACACGTTCCAAGTTTGCTATGCGAGGTGGAGGACACATGCCAATCCCTGGTTACAACGGGATTGATAGCTCAGGCGTATTAATCTCTTCTTCCAATCTGACGACCTTGTCGCTTTCCTCAGACAAGTCTGTCGTCTCTGTCGGACCCGGGAACAGGTGGAGAGACGTTTACGCCTATCTGAAACCATCTGGGCTCGCAGCTGTCGGTGGTCGTGTGGGCCACGTTGGTGTTCCCGGCTTGTTGCTCGGTGGCGGCATCTCTTTCTACTCATCGGAGTACGGATTCGCTTCCGACAATGTCATGAAGTATGAGGTATGTCGCCAATCCTCTGTATAAAGTTATACATGACTAAAAATGGGCAGTGTGTGCTTTCAAGGGGCCAAATCGTTGAGGCGACGGCAACGAACAAGTACTCAGATCTCTTCTGGGCATTGAGGGGCGGTGGTAATTCGTTCTGCATCGTCACACGATTTGACTTGCGACCTGTGGAGGGCAGCGACGTTCACGTCGGCATCGGTCAATTCGATCAGACTCAGGCATCCGGCTACCTGGACGGCGTGTACAACTTTGGGAAATATGGAGGGTCTGACCCAAAAGCTGCCATCATCCCGACTATTCTTACCTTCCCGGCAGCGAACATGACTGTCTATGCGGCTGCAAAGTTCTACCACTCTGTCACTGACAACCCGAAAGTATTCGAGAACTTCACTGCGCCAAAGCTCACCCCAGTCGCTGATTCATACGCACTGCAGCCGTTATCGGACTACATCTCAGCTACAGATGCCCTGCAGCCACTAGGATTGCGCCAGGAATTCCGCACCCTTTCGTCCGTTGTTGACCGAAAGGCCGTGCAGCTCATTCACGACACTTTCGTCTCCGGCGTCAACGCCAAGTTGCCCAGTGTTGCCAATATCCAGGCCTCGATTACCTTCCAGCCCATCACTAAGGCATTCCTCTCGCACAGCGCGAAGACTGGAGGCAACCCTCAAGGCATCGACGTCTCGAAAGCACCCTTCTTTTGGATGGTGGAGAACTTCACCTGGTCTTCGGCGAGCGATGACGCGAAAGTGCGGGGTGCTGCTGATGAGATCACAGCAAGCATAAACAGCTTGCTGCGCGGGGGATCGTATAGCGCTGACTATCTCTACATGAACGACGCTGGGAGGGGTCAGCCCATTTTCCAGAGCTATCCCGCTGCCAACTTGAGAAGGCTGAAGACTATTCGTAACAAGTACGACCCTCTCAAGGTGTACACTAACCTCATGCCTGGTGGCTGGAAGGTCGCCGATGCATGATGAACGATCCCAACGATCTGGTTCGGCGATTGTGTAAAGAATCTATCAATACAACTCATGCATTCCCCTTGAATATACGGTGCATCGCCCAACGTCTTCATTAATATGCTTCACGATAAGCCTAATTGGGAAGGAAGGTACAACATAATCGCACCATGTCCACCCGCGAGATCGGTTCGGCCGCTGCGGAACCTAGGACGATGGCTTCGAAAAGGGCCGAGACCAAGTTATGGTACCGGAGGTTCTACTTTAGTAGGCTGTTCGTAATGCGAGCAACAGAAAATCTCATGCAGGGTCAGCTTGGAAAAATTGGGCCGTAATTTTGCCGGCACCTGCATGCGCTGTTGTACTTCGCCGTTCAACCCGTATTGACTGGTTGTACTTGGCTCGCCATCGAGGGCACGCCATGTACGGACGGAATCATCGAAGACTACCATGTAGGAAACGGCGTATCTGCGGCATCCACCGTCTCATAGATCAGGCTTCGCGATGCATACCAGGATGGACCGAATGCGAATGCGAGTCTTGGTGTTGGGATAGTGACGAAGGCGAGATGTACGACGATGTTAAGACTAGATACATACCTCTATCTCGCAGTAGACCACTCGGATCGCAGTATTGTCTTGCCTACTGTGGTGATACTGAGTCAGTATCACGATGGCGCTCAGTTACACCGATCTGATGGTAAGTCGAACAACAACCGCAACATCACACTTCACAGCTCTGACTTCTAGACAGCAATTAATATGGACCCTGTGGGGTGTATCGCTCCTCTGCACAATCCTCAGGGGCTTTCTGCGATGGAAGTCTCAACACCGACTCTTCGCAGACGACTACTTCGTCTTCTTCGGCTTGTTCTCCTTGACTGCCCTCTCCGCAGTCATCACATGTCTACTACCACAGTTCCTTCTTGCGCAGGAATACTCGAAAGCGGCTATATTGGATCCACTTACACCGTTGCCACTACCGCCGGACGAATTTGTCGAGAGAACACGTACTTCGCTCAAGTTCATGTTCAGCCAGATGCTGTTGTTTTGGACTACATTGTGGGCTGGTGAGTTGGCTTGCTAAAATGGTGAGCAGGACTATCTTACTGATATGGCACTTTAGCCAAGTTCTCCATTCTTTTCTTCTTCAGACGGCTGGTGATCGGACTGCCAGTATTCATGCGTGCATGGTGGGCGTCCTTCATCCTAGTCCTACTCTTCTATCTCGCATGCATCGCCTCCAACTTCCTAACCTGCCGACCACTATCCAAGTACTGGAGCACAAGTCAGTACCCCACCCCCATCCTTCTCCGCAAACCCTTCTAACCCACACAGCCGGATGCAGCGACCCCGAAGACCTCATCCGAGCCGACGCATCCATCAAGTTCGCAACGAGCGCAGACGTCATTGCCGACGCCCTCATCATGCTCCTCCCTCTGAACCTCTTGCGCAAACTACAAGTCTCGCCCCAACAAAAGTTCGGCCTGGCAGTTATCTTCTCTCTCGGCACCATCATCATCGCCTTCGCGTTCGCACGACTCGCACAAGTTACAAAGGCGACTTCGAACCCTGATCCGACGACCCTTGCTGATGGGCCCGTGCTACTCAGCATGTGGAGTCACATCGAGTCGTCTGTATCTGTTATCGTTGCTACACTGCCGGCGTTCAGGTACTTGCTTAATGGCAAGATGGGGCGGACACAACCGGGTCCTTCGAAGCCACCGGTATATGGTTCTGCACAACCCGCTTCATCGGGAGCACAAAGCAGATCTCGGCGTGTGTATAGTATGCATAGGTGGAGTCGTAACACTACGTTGGGGTTGCCGAGTAGTGAACAGGATAGGAAGGGAAGTAATGAGTGGGGCAGTGAGACGGAGTTGAGGCCTATGGCTGGGGGAGGGAAGGGAGTTGGCATTACCGTCGAGAGAGAATTGGAGTCGACGCGGCAATCGCTTCCACAGCGTTCGGATTCATTGCCGAGGCTTGGGAAGGTAGTTTAGAGATGACATTAGAACTCAAACATGTTCGCGTTTCGAATTGTGCTCACGACTAGTAACCCATGTGCCCTAGTATTGCGAAGCCAGATATGAATACCTACGTGGTGAAATCCGCACTCAACGATTCCTATCTTCATCCCTCCCCGGCCAAACAATCTGCTTCTTCCACACAGCCCTCACACATCCCACAACCGTCATCAGCCAGATCGCCACTAGCAGAACCGTCATCACGCTCGCCACCCAAAGTATAGCCTCGCTCTCCAACTCCCTTCCCAACACACTCGTACTAAGCGTAAACCCCACATTCGGAAAGATGAAAGCCCACCATGTCAAACTGAACGGCATCCTACCCACTACCCCAACGTTCCCTAGAAACGCAATTGCAAACAACCAGAAACTGAAGACGTATAAAAAGATCCCCGTGAAAAGCGCCAAAACGCGGAGAATCTCCGGCGCAGCAGGATGCTTCGCAAAGTAGCCCCCCTCCATCCTCCCCGGAACCGCATTTGCAAGACCGATCAACGCAACAATCGTATACGCCCCGCTCCCCACCGGTATAAACAACGCAGGCCGTAACGCTGCTGGCGGAAACCCATTATCCAGCAGATTCCTCACAAACCCCACAATAGCCACGAGACTAATACACCACCCAAACCCCTGATACGCAACCCCAGACACAATGACCTTCACCGCCCTCTCATCCGTCTGACTCCCCGCCACCAAACTCGCCACGGTCCCCGTCAACATCGCCGAATACCCCGCTAGGAAAAGACTCGGCAGCGGCGGCACAGGCCGTACTTTCCCCCACTGAATCACCACCCAATACTGGAACACCGAGTTCGCGAGGGAAACCGCAGCGTAGATCCAATACAACACGTAAACTGCGTCGATAAGCCAGGGGTAAGCGGGGCCGTGCGTGATGCCGTAGGTTTGGATGCCGGCGAGGATGACGCTGAGGGAGAGGTAGAAGGAGCCGAGGAAAAAGGATTCTTGGGGGTAAAGGAAGGATAGGAGGAAGTGGGTGCGGTGGTAGAGGAGGCGGAGGGTTGTTAGGGTAAGGAGGAAGAGGAAGAGAGTGATGTTGAGGAGGAAGAGGGTTAGGCCGATTTGGTGGAGGCCTGGGTGGTGGGTGTTAGTTTTGGTAGGAGCGATGGGAGATTCGTGGTGAATGGGAGGGAGAGCGTACCGGGGAATTGATGCGGTGTTTCTGCTATGGCGAGGGCGAGGCCGCCTGTGCTCATTGTTGAGAGGAACCAGGCGAATGTGAAGTGTTTTAAGCGTAAGCGTATGCCGATTTTGCGGTCTGGTTGTTTTTGTTCTTGGTGGAGCATTTCTGGCTTTGACGACGGGGTTGTGTCGTCGGTGTTTGGAGATGTAGACATCTTTCAGTGATTCTTCTTGTTTTTGCAGAGTGCTCTTGTCATGTGTTCTTGGTTGTTGCTGTCATGGCATGGTGGCTGATGTGGTGACGATGATGAAAGGTATGCGGCAGATGAGACACGAAAAGCATCACAAAGCTCATCGCTAGCGATAAGTTTGCGCTCAGCGTGCGATTATCCGTCGGCGTAGCTTCCGATAGGATATCACCTTCTCCCCAGAGGTCATGATCGTGAGATATCCAATGAAGAAGTTGCGGATCGGTGGTTGGGCATGACGCGCAGCGGCTCTGTTTCCGGTCGTCTTATTCCCGGAGCCGCACAAGCTTCCTCGCACATCAACCGACGCAACTACATCTTCACCAGGCATCTACCGAGTAAATGCATCGAACTGTTTTCTTTCAACTATTAACATTACTTGCGAAGATTTATGCCACCTGCTGAATCCTATCCTTCGCCTTATCCTTCTTCTCCTTAGCCTTCCACTTGATATCTCCCGGCTGCGGCCACCTGTAGTTAACAGGCGACTCTCCACCCACGAAGATACACAGATCGTACATCAAGCCACCACACAACGCGCCAGCAATAGATGCGCCCCAAGAGCCATACGCCCAGTACCCGTTCTCAAAGGCCGAATCGTATCCAACCCACAACCCGATAAGTCTTGGACCAAGATCGCGCGCGGGTGAGATACCCAGACCGGTGTTGTAGCCAAGCCCGATCATGGTGACGAAGCCTGTAAGACCGACGACGAAGGCTGTCATACCCTGGCCTGGAGGCGAGTTCTGGTCGTCTCCTAGGGCGAAGATGACGCAGACGAAGATGGCCATGTAGACGAAGTCGTTGAAGAAGCCAGTCGCAGTCGAGTAAATGGGTCCTTGAGGGAAGAGAGCCTTGCCGGTCATCTCCAGGGTGAGACCGGGGTCTACTGCATGAATAGCATCTGCGTAAAGGCTATCACGAAGTTAGCAACTGGAGCATTTTGATCGGCAGAAGGTTTGACTTACGCGTAAGCTACAGCGCCGGCACAAAGTCCCGCCAGCAACTGCATGAAGATGTAGACGATTGCCATCTTCCAGGGGAAACCACGGTAGACGGATAGCGAGATTGAGATTGTCGGACTGAGATGCGAACCACTGACACCGCCGCCGAGGTAGATGCCGATCATGACTGCGAAGCCCCATCCCCAGGCTTGGGTCTCGAAGCTGCCGGTGCCTTCTTGAGATGTGGCGACCGACAGATTGACACAAAGTCCAATAAGGAGGTATACGAACGTCTGCACGGTGTTAGGAAAGTTCCTGTCAGGATAGGTAATCATACGTACGGCGAGGAACTCGGCAGGTGCCTGTGGGTACTTGGCTCGCAGCCTAGCGATTGGGTTGCGGTATTGGTTGTAGAACTCGCGTTCTGCCTCATGCTCCCGTTGCTGGATCTCTTTCTCTTCCTGTTTAGTCTGCGAAGACATATTCGTATCGTGTTCCTGGAGCGGCGGAAGACCGTCTTGTAAACCAAAGTGCTGCTGCTGCCCACGTCCATCTGAAAACTCCAGGCCGTGCTCGTTGACGGGCGCACGTTCCTGGCCCTCATGATGTTCATGGCTGCGAGCGTTCGGTCCTTGGTTGCGGCCAAGCACCTGGTCAGCTTCACTGGTTGGCACGCGTTTCATGTTGACGTTGCGGCCGTCGACTGTTGTCTGGAAATGCGAGGGGTCGCGTCGTTGGTGTGGGCGACCAACGCCGTCTAGCGTTTCCTGAGAGTCCTCTGAATCTTCTTCCAAATCTGTTCGCGTTCTGATTAGTGTTGTTACTTTTGAGAGGAGTCACGTCCACGGAGTATGTGAAGACTTACCTTTGCCATCATGGAAGCCCAAGCCATCTTGTCGAGCAATACCATCTGCATCCCCTTCATCGACCCGGTACAGAGACTTGCGCAGGTCGCCTCTTCCCCACCACATGCCCTTACGTACAGTGCGTGGCAAAGGCGCGCCCAAGCCGAAGACTGGCTTTGACTTTTGCTCATTGTACCAAGGATTCAATGAGAAGTAGTCATTCTCCACGTCTACAGTCTGCTGTTGCTTCTTCTCGGGTCGTCGTGGCGGCTCTTGCCTGACATTCTCGCGGGTCGCCCGGCTCTTTCGAGCAGTGGGCGTATTTCTGATGGTACCCATTTGGGTCATACCGGTTGCAGTAGTGTTGGCGCGCTCATTCTCGGGTCGTGACTCCAAGCGAGCAGTGTCAAGTCTTCCTATACTTGGTGCATTGGAACGACTTTGTGCCAAACCCGATGGCATGCGTGTTGCCGTGGGTTGCTGTCGTGGCTCAGGCGTTGCTGCAGGTCTTTGGGATGTAAAGTAATCTGACTGCTGCCCTGTAGAATATCAGTACATGTAATTTCTTGATACCAATGAGAATGAAGCTCTTCTGGCTTTTCGAAAGAAAAAAATTGAGCTTGTTCGGTAACTTACTGTTGTCAGCTTTGTTCGGCTGTTGTTGCGACATGTTGTATGCTCGTTTCTTCCTACGTCGCAAGGCAAGCAGACCCTGACGACCTTATATCTGATATGTACTGGACGTGGGAGTAAAACAGGGGCGTGGGAGGTGCCAAGTGTACAACATGGTGAAAAAGTAGTCCCGCGATTAAGCCATGGGAAAGTGAAGAATTCCATGCAAAACGTCATTTGCAGGGAAGCTTTTGCCTAGTAAGCCCACGTCCCCATTATTTCGGAGCGACTCTTGGTGACGCGGAATCACACATTCCAATCATTTGGACGGGTTTTCATGTTGAGTGGGTGCGTACCGTTTCGGGAACTCAGCTTTAGTGGGTTTGCCCTGATAAGAAGGGATCCATCGCGATCCTCAGGGTTGCGGCAAAGTGTGGCGTCGTGCGGATCGTGAGATTGCTGAGCATCGGCATCTTTACTGTGGGTCGCATGCGCGGTCCGCGGAGCTGAAGCCTTTGTCGTCGACATAATCGGAGCGACAGATTGACATTGTGGTGTCTTGTGAGCGGAAGAGTCATCAGAAGTCTCCTCGGAAAGTGTAAGAGGAATTGATGCAGGAACCGCATAGGGAATGTTTAGGTGCAGATCATCCGAGAGCCTCAAGAACACCCTCAACCAATAGGCACAACAACGCTCGAGAGGCCGCAACAACCGGCAGTGGCGATGCCGACTCATGCCCTACCTAGACAATCACACAAGCCACACTTCTCTGACAGAGAGTTCGGGACCAGAGCCGATGGTGCACCACGATCATGCAGGTGAAGACGCACTATTGCATCGTAATGTGGAGACTCGGCCAAGATTTCTACGTTTGCCCGATGATTTCCCTGCGACATTGCCGTCCCTGGAGGACTGCATTGCTGTATCTACACATGCACCATCCATGCACTGAAGAACGCCCCAGTGTCTACGTAAGCTCCCGCCGCCGCGGTGTGATAGTACAATGTTGAGCCCGATCCCGAGGTCCGAACATTCGCATGGTGGGTCGATGGGCAGCCTTTGGCAGATCCCATACCCCACGCTCAACAGCTTCCAAGTATCTATGCAGTGGCTTCTATCTACGTCCTCACGACACTGCCATCAGCTTGTTCTGCTCCTGGGCCAACGTCAGCCCTTCCGGTGCTTGTCGGAATAGCACGATCTCGGATTGCTTAAAGTATCGACGGGCGTCTGGATACAGGTCAGTCACAGTCGCGTAGAGATGTGGGCATGCCATACCTTCGTCGATGAGTACTAGACTCAGGTAGTATCGGGTGGAGTACTTCTTGTTGACTTCGCGGAAGGTGGGTGTCAGGTCGAATCCTCCGAGGAACAACCTGATGGGGATTGTTTCACCTTGACGTCGTCAGTAATGCCTGTCGCAAAAGAGTCATGGTGCTTACCTCGCGACGGTGAGCCGTCCATGATCTCGAAGCGCACCAGGGTCTCGCTCTCGTTGTACTGGTTGGGAGCAGCCCCCGTTGTCTCTCTTCTTATGATGGACAACTCCATGTGCTTGATCTTTAACCGTACCAGCAAGAAGTATATCCTGCCCACAATCACGTCCTTCAGGTGGTATTTCGATTTCGAGTACTCGAACTCAATGTGCAGGCAGTCTTCGATACCGACGTCCATCTTAATGGAGCTGTTGGTCTCGGGCGGTATCCGGTAGGAGTAGACCCAGAGGTCCTTCTCTCTGACTACGTCTGCCATTCTCCGCGACACGGTGACGCGCACAAAGTAGCGCAGCTTGACGTTGATGCCATTGTAGGATTCGTATTGCTTCTCGACGTTCTTGAAGTTGAAGTCGAACGTCTGCGGGTGCTGGAGCTCGCCAGGGGCTGCTAGCTCCTGGCCGAGGGAGAGGAACTCGTAGTGGTTCCCGCGGTCGAAGAACATCTCTGGCGCATTATGTCAGCACTGCGCGCTGAGATGTAGCTATGGTGAAGCTTCGGGACGACGGATGCCTACCAATGGTGCCAATGAATTGCACCTTGATGCCGGTATGCTCCAGGCGCTTGCCATCCTTGGGCCTTACGGTGACCTGGCCCTTGACTGATTCGCCATCCAGGTACAGCGGTACCTTCTCTTTGCGGTTCTTGTCGAGCTTGACATCGACGGCGGAGCGGTCGTCGAGGTCCTCGAGCACGATGTCGATGTCGACCGGGGTGGAGAAGAAGTACGACATGCCGGGCCAGAGAACTGCCGGTGGATTGGCGCGTGTTCGGAAGCGGTATCAGAAGCACTCGTCGCGTCGGTGGTCGGCGGCGCTCGACTGGATGGCCGTGGTGTGGAGAGCTGCGCCCCAGATCCATGGCAACAGCTGATGACGCTTGTCCCCGTTGAGCCCGTCACGTGAGCGCATTCTGCCCCGCCTTCCCCGATCCCTCACCAACACCACCTCGTCATATTCACCCCCAGGTATCCTTGTTTTACTCTTCACTGGGTCCACGTCACGTCTGACTGCTGCTCTCGTCGGGTCAGATGGTCCTCCACATGCCCCTCCCGAGCCTGCGGAGATAGGCACCTGCAGACGAAACAGCAAATATGCACTCGTTTGGCGGTGAGCTGCACACGAGCAGCTGCAATATCGCGGCGTCGTGACTGATCGGGTCTGCCTGCACGTCTGGCTCAAACGTTCTCACCCGTCTGGACTATCCGGAGCATCTGCCGGATGCCGCCCCAAAGACTAATCGACTAATCGCAACTCAAAGACTGTTCGCAGCCTCGATCCTCACCGGCCCGATGCACTTTCAGATTCCTCGCCTAACCCCCACGCGCCATTATCAAACAGCTTCGTACCGCGAGTCAAAGCGGTGAGCTGAAGTCTATTGCTTCCAGGCAGAAACTCAGTCGAATCGCAATCTACTCAGCAGAGCGCCCTGCAGTTGCCTGGCGTTCAGAACTCAAGTCTGCGCTGGCATGTCGTGGTCACCGGCATGCGGGATGCATAAGTACCTGAGAAGGACTGGGGTCCTCATGCGGGGAGACTGATGCGCTACTCGTCATCCCACACGCGACAGGTCCACTTTCAAACGCCGAAGTTCTCTCTCTCCAGCCCCGGCTTCGCGGCTGTTACAGCCGGCTGGGCCTGTTACTGAGACTAGCTACACGTCCTTGCTCGCCATTCGCTGTTTGCTTTTCGGAGCGTGCCATCGTGGCTTGGCTCCCAGAATAACGACAAGCTCCATCGCATTTCACCCTTGCCGTTGCCGTCATGGCTTGCGGGAGAAATTTCCAGACCAGTATTCCAAGGTCCCACGCCTTAAAACGCACCACGCCCCAGCGCGAATCGGGGCGCCGTTGATTGCTTACAGTCTGCATACACTTGTATTTGGTCCCGACCACATCGCAATATACTATATTAACCCTACTCGACACTCGTCCCTTTGTTTTCGGGAGCCCAACTCAAGCATTAGCGTCATACAAGAGCCTCACGTACTACAAACACTCATTTCCACAACAGTTTGACTCAAACTTCAAACTCTGTACCACCATGATGCAAACCGTCGATCTATCGCAGCCAAAGCCCATACAATATGCATCACCACCTACACCACCGGCTTCCAATACAGGCTCGCCATCCAAGTCCATGGCTGTCATGAACGAGACCGAGACCGCCAAAATGACTATTTCAACCCACCACCACATCCTCATCGTCACCGGTCCAGCAGGGTGCGGCAAGAGCACTGTTGCAAAGCACCTCTCGGACCGATATGGATTTGACTACATCGAGGGCGACGAGGTTAGCCAGTTCCCTGTGATCTATCTAATGCGTACTGACGTCTTTGCAGTTCCACCCAAAAGCAAACATCGACAAGATGGCCGCCGGCATCCCTCTCAACGACGAAGACCGCTGGGACTGGCTCATCCTTCTACGAGACCAGGCCATCACCGCACTGAAGAACGGAGCCAAGGGCGTCGTTGTTACCTGCAGTGCGCTCAAGAAGAAGTACCGCGACGTCATCCGCACAGCCCGCCTCTACGACGAGGACCCAAACGCCAACGTACACTTCGTCTACCTCCGCTCTGACATGGAGACCCTCCTCGCCCGCGTCCGCGCCAGACAAGGCCACTACATGAAGGACGCCATGGTTGAGAGCCAGTTCGCTGCGCTAGAGGAGCCCGATGAGACAGAGTGCAAGCAACTGAAGGACGTGGAGATCATCGACGTCAAGGGCAGCATACAAGACGTTCAGCTACTGGCTGGTGCTGCTGTAGACAAGGTTCTGGCGCAATAGTACAACGTCCGTTGCATCAGCCGGCTCCGATTTCACGCTTGGCTACGTCTTTCTCTTTTTCTGGCTTAGCCGTTTAGGCTCGGTGTTAGGCGAGTGCGAGTGTGCAGGGACGCTATGCGCAGGCTCCGATTACTTGTTATTCTTTTAGTTACGGCGTTCTATCATATCACTATACCCTCGCCAGACGGGACAGCATACATGGTTTGCGGAACTGAAAGATTCTAATTCTTATCATAATACACACAAGCAACTTCTAAACCCTGATATAAGCTATTGTGCCGTCACTATGCCACTGTACGCTTTGCCCTCAGTTGTTGCAAAAGCGACTAGTTAGTGACATATTCTGGTGTAAAACTTGCTACAGAAAACTACCCTTAAGAACTCTAACTAAAGTTTTAGTACATAGTAGAGTTCTAGCTAGTATGACAAGCGCAGCTATACTACTTGCTAATATTAGTTCTATGATACCTGCATGTTATGTGATTCTTGTAGTATACACTTCTAGAGGTTTTATTTCTTCTCACTTTTTCTAACTACTGATCCGCTCCATTGACCGCGGTCACTAGAAATTTAGTCCGGGCCTTGGCTACATGTGTGCTTTTTAAGAGAGTTTCTTCTCATATTGTTTATGCAGCCCTGTCTTGTTCTAGAAAACCGTGCTCCATTGCCCTCGTACGCCACCGCATTGGTCGATTACTGTTACAGTGGTACCCTGAATGACGGCAGCACTAGTCTTTTCCCCTTGTCTTTTCCCAATCGTGCAACGAGGAAAAGATCAATGGGCCGGGAAAAGCAATAGCCTCGCCGGCGCGTGGTCGCCACAGAAGCTGGTTGGCTGCCAAAGTCTCAATCACTAGTCTAGTTGAATCTTTGGAAAATGCTACTTTCATAAAGGAGGTTTGTTCTATTCCATATTCCAACCCCTTCTGCCGCCCGCAATACACGATTAGGGGCGTGTCCATTACTTCCCCATTTCTTTCAGCGATATATTCAGTCTCCTTTCCTTTGCTGTTTCCGTCCTCGAGCCTCTAGCAATACGTTGTTAGCTAGTACTAGGCAATTTCATCGACCCAGCCTCTCCGCAATGCACCCGTCATCAGCTGCAGATGCGATAGGTGGTCATACGTTTTGTGTATCGCCAATTTGGCGAGGAGACGACTTTACCAAGTGCTTTCGAGAGAAGTAAGTTTTTGATGACTTGGTCTCGCTACGAATTCGATTGCTCTTGTGCTTACATGTAAAGTTGCATCAATTTGCTCCTTCCAAGTTTCATCACCCTGGCCTCCGCCATCAGTCTGCTGATCAGCATTCGTGCGGATACGCGCCGGACTAAATGCGACGAGGCCCAGCATCGACCACAGCCAGAAGCTGCCAGTGTCTCATCGGACGAAGCTGATGTAAATTGCGAAGCGTGTGGGTGCTGTAGATGGCCTGGCACGCAACCCATCTCCGTTGGGAAACCCGTAGTCCACTTAAGTGGCGCTATCCTGTGCGAGCTGCTTGTGCTTGGCGGTCTGCTCAGCGTTAATCTCAGTTCATTCCTACAAGCAATCTCTGGCAGATTCAGCCTTTCGCAAGCAGCAACGGCGGTTGTATGCTCGTCCTACGCCGCTCTACTTGTTATCGTACCTCTACTCCTGGAAAAAGGGATGTGGCAGCAACGCCGACCATGGGCGCATTCTGGCACCATTTATCTCACTCAGTGGCTCTCAGCGGCGATTAGTTTGCGCTCTGAGCTGCTGGATGGCGGATTCAGCCTAGCCTCCTGTACATTGCTGCTTGACCTCGGTCTCAAGACGATACTGGTAGGCATTCTTATGTCTACAGGAACTCAAGACATGGCGGTACCGACATCGCTCGAACAACGAGCCTCAGCCTTTTCGCGTCTCACCTTCTCCTGGATGGACCCAATCTTGCTGAAGGGATACACCCAGGGCATCGGTATCGACATGCTGCGGCACTTCGACCAAGCAGACAAGGCGCAGAATATCCTAGCATCTTATCGGCAAATCAGGAAAGACGCTACCTTATCGTGGAGATTGGCCTCCCTTTTCAAGACTGTATTAATTTTGCAGGGTACATGGGCATTAGTTGCGGGTATCCTCACCGTGGCGCCTGCTCTGCTCCTGAACCTGGTCCTACAATCTCTCGAACAACCCGGACGCTACCAACCACATATGATATGGCTTCTTGTCCTACTTTTCCCTTTGGTCGATCTGATCAAGTCAGTTGCAGACGGACAGGCGCTTTGGCAAGGTCACAAACTGTGCCTTCGGGTGCGCGCTTTGCTGATTAGTGAGGTATTCCGCTTAACGCTGCGCCAAAAGCTTGTGCACGTAGCGCCACGCAACGTCTCAAATACAAAGATCAACCAAACTATGCTGGGAAGGCTGAGAACATGGGTCCGCTCGACGCTAGGGGCGGAAGAAGGCGCCATCGCCCTACCCATCGACGAGCCTACCGCTGGCCTTTCTGGCTCAGAAGATGGAAAGACCGGCTCAGAGGCTGATGAATCAGGTACCGGAAACACTATCAACTTGATGTCTATCGACAGCTACAAAATTGGCGATGCCATGTCGAATTTGCATCTCCTTACCATTCAAGCGCCTGTGCAGATTATCATCACCATCGCGATGTTATATCGCATTCTAGGTTGGAGCGCATTGTCAGGTCTCGCCATTATGCTTGTCACGATCCCAATGAACATCGCGGTCAGCAAAGGCTTGGTACGCAACCAAGAAAAGATGATGGCATCGACGGATCGACGAATCCATGCATCTAATGACCTTTTCCGGAGCATTCGCACTGTAAAATTCTTCGCTCTCGAAAATCACTTCAGCAAAATAGTGAACGATGCGCGAAGAGTGGAGCTGAATGGGTTGCGAAAACGCTTCTTGTTGTGGGCGGCATTCGACACCACCTGGTACGCTGTTCCTGCCCTCATGACACTGCTATCTCTCTTCTGCTACACAACATTAGAGGGTAAGGCTTTGCACCCCTCCTTAGCCTTTGCCACCGTATCTATGTTCACGCTCCTATGCGTTCCTTTGGGCAATGTGGGATTTGTGTTAGCCCAGGTTATTGAGGCAGGCGTATCTCTGAGACGCATCGAAGTGTTTATCCAGGATGGAGAGCTTGTCTTGCCGCCTTTCAGCACGACCTTTGAATGCAACACGGACAATCCTATGTTGGGCTTCCATCATGCTCACCTCAGTTGGGCTGGGTGTGAAGAAACCGCGTTGGATGCACCCACAGCCTTTGAACTGCACGACGTGAACCTCTGCTTCCACACAGCAAAGCTTAATGTCATCGTGGGTCCGACAGGTGCAGGCAAAAGCTCTTTACTATTAGCTTTACTGGGTGAGATGCGATTAACGAAGGGGAATTTGTCACTTCCTGACATCCGGAGCCGCGCCTATGTCGCACAGACACCCTGGATATTCCACGGAACCATCCGGGAGAACATTTTGTTCTCAACTTCTTACGATGCAAAACGATACCACCATGTCATCGAGATGTGCGCCCTCGAGCGCGACTTGCATTGCATGAGCGCCGGTGATGCCACGGTCACTGGTGAAAACGGTGTCACGCTTTCCGGCGGACAGAAGCAGCGCATCTCCCTTGCTCGAGCGATCTACTCGCATTCGCGCACGGTACTCTTGGACGACTGTCTCAGTGCGCTGGACCCACATACTGCCAAATTCATCTTTGAAAACTGCATCCGACATCTGCCCCGTCAGGGTCGTACATGCGTTCTCGTCACACATAATACGGCACTGTGCGTGCCGGCAGCTGACTATGTGGTCGCTTTGGACAAAGGTTGCGTCATCGCCCATGGCTCCCCCCGCCAGGTCTTGAATGCGGACGTGTTCCCTCGGGCTGTCCATGAAGCATTGGAATATGAGATGACGAAGATGGAGCAGGCGTCCAGTTCACTCCAGACGCCATTGGCGGCTTGGGAATCCCGACTGACCTCTCCAAACGGGAGTCACGACACCGACATACAACCTGTAGATACAATGCTTACATACCCAGACAGTGCGGACGCCGAGGATGCAGGCGTCGTGGAGTGGTCGGCCGGTAAGCTCTACTTGGTTGCCACAGGAGCTTGGCCATTCTGGCTGATTCTGATCCTTCTGTTTGCGGGAGGGAAGATGGCTGGTGTGGCGTCCACCCTGTGGATGGGACGATGGTCTAACGAGTCCATCTTGGGCGGTGATGCCCCTGATGCGGGCACACGATCGACTCTCCGGGCACACATTATGCTGCATCTCACTTCCCACAGCCGATTTGGTGTCTCTGGGTCCAAGACTCAGCACAACCTCATAGTACAGAGCCAATTGCTGCCGACAGATACCTCTAGTTCTTCGATCGACCCTTTGTACCATATTCTCATCCTCGGCATAATCAGTCTCGCAACCATCACCTTTATGATGCTGCGAGAGGCTTGGGCGGCTTTTGGTTCGCTAACGGCGTCACGAAAATTGCACACCAGGTTGCTCGAAGTCACCACCAAGGCAACATTCCGCTTCTTCGATACAACTGCCCTTGGACAGCTCATGAACCGCTTCAGCAAGGACATGGAGATCATTGATCAACAAATGACATCTGTCATGATGCACATTGTCAGCCTCATCCTCGACACGATTGTTTCCATAGTGGTCATAGCATGGACCACGCCGCAGCTTCTGATAGTGGCCTGTCTTATCCTTTGCATCTATCTGGTCATAGCCAGATTTTACCTACGCTCGTCCCGAGAGCTCAAGGACCACGAAGCTAGAGGCCGGAGTCCGTTGTTCCAGCAATTCGGTGAGGTGCTCACCGGACTCGTCACGATCCGTGCCTACAACAAAGAGCAGTTGTTCATCGACAGTAACGCAGAACGCATCGATACGCAGTCGCGGCCCTTCTTCCATCTTTGGGCTTCCAATCGCTGGCTAGCTCTCCGCACCGAGTTACTCGGAAACCTCTTATTTGTCCTGACCAGCGTCTTCGTTTTGCTGAGCAACAACATCAGCCCCGGCTTGGCGGCTGTCTCACTGACGTATGCCATGAGCTTCTCGAATTATCTCATCTGGATTGTACGCATGTACGCTATGTTCGAGCAGAACATGAACTCTGTCCAACGCATTTCTGACACGATGAGCGCGGAGCAAGAGGCGGATCCAGACACGGCGCAGTGCCACCCCGACGCTACCTGGCCCTCGCACGGAGTGGTTGAGTTTAGACGTTTCTCAACGCGCTACCGACCAGACCTAGACATGTGCCTTCGCGATATCAGTTTTCGCGCTGACCGTGGGGAGCGGGTTGGCATCGTAGGGCGTACGGGGGCTGGCAAGAGCACTCTAGGCCTTGCCATGTTCCGGGCCTTGGAAGCCGTAGAGGGCGAAATTCTAATAGATGACGTGGATATCAGTCAAGTTACGTTGCAACGCCTCCGTAAATCCATTACTATAGTACCCCAGGACCCCAGCCTATTCGCGGGCACCATCCGGTCCAATTTGGATCCTCTGGACGAACACACGGATGCAGAAGTAGAAGCAGTACTTGATCACGTGCAGCTGTCGGGCGCGGCTGAAGGCGCATTGCATGCAGGAACTCGTGTCATTGACGCTGGAGGCAATTTTTCGCAGGGACAGCGACAGCTGCTGTGCCTAGCACGGGCTGTCTTACGGCGCAGCCGCATCCTCATGGTCGACGAGGCGACGGCTTCTATCGACCATGCTAGCGACACGCAGATACAAGCAGTGTTAAGCAGCCTCGATGCTACCGTTGTGACAGTAGCGCACCGCCTTGCTACCGTTGCAGACCACGATCGTATCGTCGTCCTAGATCGGGGTGCTATCATCGAACAGGGCGCGCCTTGGATATTGCTCCGTAACCCTCACAGCGTCTTTCGCGCCATGTGTGAGACGAGCGGCGAATTTGAACGTCTAGTGCATATATCCGACTGGGCTCGGCATGCTAAGAGTGCTGTGGTGTAGATTGGCTTGCACATTGCACCTTGCCATGTACAACTGCAGGGTGCTAGCACAGACGCTCGTTGCAGTCCGTTCTGACGGATGGCAGCATGTATGAGAAGGACAAGCGGGTCTGCTGCATAGACTTGTGGTGTGGTGCAGCAGAAGGCGTCTGGTCTGGGTATTTAAGCCGTGTGTGCACGCGTGGCCGTGGGCGATGCAAGCGACGCAGACTTGGGATTCTGCCACTATCCAGCCATCGCAGGCTCCGCCAACATCGTCGACTCGCCGCCCGAACGAACAGGTGCTGTGCCTGCGACGAAGACGCTGACTAGGCGCCATGTTGTCTCAGAGAGCTCAGAGCCTAGCCGCGGGGACCACGTTCAACGAGATGTGGGATGTCATCAAAGACGCATGGCACAGAGACGACAACGCCGGCGGACATGTGAACCTGGGCGTGGCGGAAAACAATCTAATGCGAGCGGAGCTTGAGCAGTACGTCGTGGAACACGTGCAGATGGCGGGCAGCAACGCGACGTACGACGACGGGCCGGTGGGCAGCGCACGGCTGCGGGCAGCCCTGGCCAGCTTCCTGAGCGCGCAGCTGCAGACGGCGCGGCGGCTGGAGGCGGGCCAGATTGTGGTGACTAACGGCGTGTCTAGTGCGCTCGAGCATGTCGCCTGGGCGCTCGCAGATGCAGGCGACGTCTTCCTGCTGGGCCGGCCGTACTATGGCGAGGCAACGCTGGGCCTGCGCCCGGGCGTGCGCACCGTGGCCGTCACGTTTGGGGCAACGGACCCGTTCAGTCGCACGGCAGTTGGGTGCTACGAGGAGGCGCTGGTGCGCGCCCAGGCGTCCGGCCTTGTTGTCCGTGGCCTACTGTTGTGCTCGCCACACAACCCCCTCGGCCGCTGCTATTCACGCGAGGTGCTGTGCGCCCTGGCCGCGCTGTGCGCAAAGCATGGGCTGCATCTCGTCAGCGACGAGGTCTACGCACTCTCCGTCTGGCGCGAGCCCCGCTTCACGTCGGTGCTGTCGCTGCCGCTCCATGGCGTTATTGACGCCGCCCGCGTGCACGTCGTCTGGGGCATCTCCAAGGACTTTGGCGCCAACGGATGGCGGCTAGGCTGTCTCGTGTCGCCTGCCAACCCCGGCCTGCGCGCTGCCGTGGCTGCCGCCGGCGTCTACTCGTACCCGTCCTCCCTCACCGACCATGTCGTTGCGCAGATGCTCGAGGACCACGCCTTCACCACGGCCTATCTGCACGAGAGCCGCCAACGCCTGCAAGCCGCATACACACTGGCCGCTAGCCTCCTCCGCCAGCACGCCATCCCCTTCGCCACCAGCACCCACGCCGCCCTCTTCGTCTGGGCCGACCTGGGCCAGGCATATCGCCGCCGCAACCCGCGCCACTCCGACATGGACGACAGCGCTGTAGCGGACAAGCTAAGAGAAGCACTGTACAGGCAAAAGGTCTATCTGGCATGGGGCGGCAACTTCGACAGCGAGGCGCTGGGCATGTTCCGCATTAGCTTTGCGCACCCAGCCGACTACATGCAAGAAGGCTTCCGGCGCATTCATCAGGCACTGTCCCGCTCCTGCTCCCGCTCCCGCTCCCGCCTTGGATTAACCCGGCTTTAGCTTTTCATCCTCAATACAAGGCTTCCATCACGCCCATCAGACCTAAAACAAGAATCTCGTAGCTTATCCTCATCGCCATGTCTTGATGCTCTATTGAACACGTCGTTAGCGCCTCGAGCCTACTCCGCTATCGTCACCTGCATGGCCATGTGCATACAACGGTGAAGCTATCTAAACTAGTGACATGCTCTATCTATAGCAGAACCGACCGCATGTGGATACCAACAAGTGAGTGAATACGACAATCACATGCCAGATGAGAGTGCACAACGAGGAGGAGATGCTAAAAGATTTGCCGACCCAAGACACACGATCGATGAGAGTGCTCACCGATGAGGGCAATACTAGGTCGTTAGTGAATGCAGCTATGTTAGATGAGAGTGCACACCGATGAGAAGGAAACCAACCTGCATTTAGTTCGGCCGTATTTGATAGGAATGCATTTGCTAATTAATAATGTCGCTCGTGATGCGGTAGTTGTAAGTGGTTTGACGGCTATGCGTCATCGCAATACCATGTGTTGAAGTAGCTGGAACAAAATGACGACTTCGTGCACATAGCAATGGGAAGGACATACTCACAGATGATGCGAATGCAAGAACTGCACGTTAGATGAGACTGCTCACCGATGTAAGGAAGACATGCAGGAAGCGCAGATCAGATGTGGAGGATAATTCTGTTTGCTAACAGATGATAGTTTCCATGGGGTACGCACATCCCGACTGCGATGGCCTTCACCGCTGCAGCTTGCTTTGGAGTAACCTAGAACTCCAAGCGTTATCACAAACGTCATACACTGGCAACGAGATGACTGATGGAAGCCTTGGAATTCTCTGAGCTAGAGGGGATGTTGTTGCTAGCGCAACCTTACCCGTCGTCCCACATGTTCCACAACTCCCAAATTAAGGTTCGGACCGATGAGCTTACGCTAGTTGCGCCATATAGATACGTGCGCATCAGATCTCGGTTGCGCCTGCACGTCATTATACCGTGCGGGCGGAACCGAAGTGGCGATATGAGAACATGGGGGGGGGGGGGGGGGGCTTT